TACGGTTAAAAGGGACTTGGTCAAAGGGTAAGGGTAGAGATATCCTTTCGACGTCAAACTGCATAGGGTTCCACATGTGATGAACGCGATAGTGTGCGCCAGCCAACTTCTATTTTATATAACAAGTTGCAATAGTCATCTGAAACAACGCTGTGATAACGGCCGCCGTGAATTGACGTAGGTGATAAGACTGACAAGCGTGAACGTTATCAATTCCCCACCACTTAACTCCGAATTTTGCTGAATTTCTTCTTATGCTTATAAGTGCTTTTGAAAATTATAACTGTCAAGAAGATAACCACTGAATTCTATTCACAATGAGTTTTTTCTAACTGGCATTCTGTACTGGAAAATTGAAGGCAATCTCGCTTGAAGGAGCGTGAACCTCGACTGGCAGCCTTATGGTTAGTGTCAGTTTTCACCTGAGGTTCGTTCAAAACGATCTACCTGGAAGGGTGAAGCCTTCAGCATTGATCAGACCCGTTCTGGGATGCGCCATGCACTCTACGTCCATTCGTAGTCATGATTATCATTTGGCTTATACAATGCCTTGAGATAGCATACAGCCATTTTTTGTAATCCAAAAGAACCTTGGTACTTGGTTGAGGAAATCCGCTTAGACGGAACGCTTTGTTGGCCTGAGATTAAGTTAGTCAATAATTGATGCAGTCCTTGCGCGAGTCAAGCCGAGTCAATTTCCACTACCCTGCCTCTGCCTAGATCACCGTCGATCAGTTCATGATCGGAGGTTCAGGATTCTGATGAGAATGGTGTGCATGGCGCATTCCGGAACCCACTGGTCAACTCCTAATATTTGCCATTTATTCTTCACAAGAGGCGACATCGGAGTTTACCACCATCTCTTGAAATGATTGATGCAGTTGCATGTGAGAAATAAATTGTAAATATTTGGGGTAGACCGGTGGGTTCCGGAATGCGCCGTGCATACGGTTCCCGACAAAATCCTGAATATTTAGGGTACAAGAACTTGAAACGTTCGCTTTCTCCCAAAACAGCATTTATCGTTTCACAGGAGGGCGTCCTTTTGTGGGCATCCGGCTGGATATGCTTGCCGTTGAAGCTATGGATAGTTGTCGTTGGGTAAAGGTTTGGGTAGTTGGCAAAAATAAAGACTGGCTATAGGAAAGCAATATAAATGCACTATGAAGCAATTATAAGTGAACCACACTCTCCTTCTATCCCTGAGCCGCAGGTCCAAGCTTGGGCTGCTCCTATAGGTCCATGCCTGTGCTTACTTCTGAACAGAAGTTGCAGATTTTTTTTTGTGAAATCTTCTTATCCACTTTGAAACGCAGACTTTTGGAGTTTTCATCCGCAAGACTGGAGATTCTGAATATTTTTTTCTATGGAAAAAAATTCCACTATAGTGCTTCTTTTTAGGTCTAATGTACCTCAGGGTATTCAAATGGGTTACCTTTGCTGCCGTGACAGCTTATATTGTTGAGCTTTGTTTCTACCGTAGTGATATTGAACCACATGTGCACGGTGAGGTCGATGAAGCGTTCGAAGTGGTCCGAGAAGCTTTCAGGTTAGTGCATAATTTTGTGGGCAGTGTTAAGAGAAAAGTCTTCTATGGAGTAGTTGCCAGGACGTTTCAG